TTTTGGTAACAAAATTATTTAAAACAGACCAGTATATCGAAAGTTATTTAGCTTTGAAATTTTTAAAAAATAAACACATAAATTCCAAAAATCAGCCCATATGATTTTTTTCGTTACATTTGATATAGCTAATAAGCATCGACTACCTATTGTTTTGATTGTTTTTCTTTCATGTTACACCTGATCTAGCCAATCATAATTCAGAATTTGTTAACACACGGACAAATAAATGGATATAATCGGCACGGCTAAATTATTCAATTTTTACCGTATTTTCGCAAGGGTATAATTTCAAATTTTGGCCCAAATTAAGCTTAATTCGGACCATTATTCTAAATAACGCTCATGAGCGTTATTACACGAAAATACGGTAGAACTAATTATCAAACTCGTTATAATTGAAGAAAACTTTATAAATATGCCTTCTTTACGCTCCTTTATGCTTAATTGGTTTTTCAAAAAAAAAAAAAGAATTGAATTGTTATTAAAAAAATGGATCCCTCTGAACAAAAGCATTTTACTTTTGATCAAATTCCTGATCTGAATGGAAAAGTAATTAGATTATTATTATTATTATTATTATTATTATTATTATTATTATTATCCGATCAATTGAAATATGAATTTTTTATTTATTATCTCTAGGTTGTAATCGTTACTGGAGGAAATTCTGGGATAGGATATGTTACGTGTAAAGAATTGGCCAGAAAAAATGCTCACGTGTTCTTGCTAGGTCGTAACATCGAGAGATGTCAGGCTGCCGTTGAAAGAATCATATCCGAGACTGGTAATCAAGATGTTGAATTTTTACATTTGAATTTAAAAAGTTTAAAATCTGTTAAAGAATGCGCAGAAAACTTTTTGGCAAGAGGTTTACCATTGCACATTTTGTAAGTACTATTATTTACGATTATTATACAATAGTTTAAAAAGTTACAAATTTAGTCTAATTGATTATTATTTGATCATTTTTATCAGAATTAACAATGCGGCAATCACAACAAAGTAAGTAATAATGTTAAAATTATAATTTCTTTTCACTTGTAACTATAAGAACATTTGAATAAATAAATTAATATAATATATAGTACATTTTCACTTACTGAGGATGGGATTCAAGAGGAATTTGGAGTAAATCATGTCGGTCACTTTGTAAGTAAACAAATAAACGAAACAATAAATTATTAAATTACAATTATGATAATAGAAAATCATAGTAGCAAATTTTTTTTTGTATTATTAGCTTCTCACCAAATTATTATTGCCAAAAATTAAAGTCTCACAACCAGCACGTATCGTAAATGTTAGTAGTCGCGCTCATAAACGTGCTGAGGGAATCGAATTCGAAAAATTAAATGATCCAAATGCACAGAGCTCGATGCAACGTTATGCATTCACAAAAGTTGTAAATATTTTATTTAATGACGAATTAAATAAACGACATCTTGAAGGAGAACAAGTATATGCCAACACCCTTCATCCAGGTATAATAAAATTTTTTTCTAAATCTAAATAATATAACTATATTAATTAACTAATTATTATTTTATTACTATTAGGGGTCATAGATACCGAAGGGTTAAGGAGAAATGATTTCAATGTACCAGAAACTGTTTTGTCTTCTGCAATCTCACCTGAGGATGGAGCTATTACTACATTATATTGTGCTACTAGTCCAGAAATCGAAGAGAAAAATTATCGCGAAAGGTATTTTGAACCATTCGGTATAGAAGGTGAAAAATCTTCATATGCTAAAGACGATGATTTGGCTAAAAGACTTTGGGAATTTACAGAGAATTTGATAAACGAAAAATTATCGCAAAAATAATTAAATATGTTTTATTAATTTATTACGTAATTTTCAATGTCAGTATTCGGCATATGGGGTTGAGTCAATAGAAATAAAGCAAATATTTTTTAATAAGTTTTTTTAAAACATTAAACAAGGTTAACTTAACAAAAACTTAATAAAAAATTTTTTAAATTAATTTTATAGATTTGTAAAAATTATTTTAAAAAAAATTTAATTAAATTTGATCAAGTTATTCTTTTTAAAGTTATAAAAATTTTTTATTATAAAAAATTTGCTTGATTTTTATTGACTCACCTCCATATTTTGTTATATTGTTATAAATGTTATATTGCTATAAATTTTATAATGTTATAAATGTAATAGTTAAATTATTTAATTTAATCTTTCATTAATAAAGTTATCCAATAAATTTAATTTCTAATTGTAAATACTAGAAAAACGGCGACGTTTTGTAGGCTGGAGCCTTAATTCTTAGGCCTTATACTTTAGAATTAAAATTAAAAT